CTTCATATCTCGATGAACGCACGCTGACGTATGAACCAATTGTTAACTGAGAATACCCAAACATATCACTGAGGTAGAAATTTTTTCTTGATCTTCCACTTACTTCTCATAATCAATTTACAGGGAGAATTAACAGATGTTGCAGGAAGTTAAAGGGAAATAAAATTGAGCAGTATGTTTGAACATTTTAGTTGCTTCATTTGACAGAAACAGGTTTATTAAGCTCTGGCCAGATAATCCATGTGGTTATTATACAAGCATAATGTGTTACCTTTGTAGGAGCTACTGCTTGTGTGGAGCTTCAAAATTTTGAGGATGCTGTAAAATGGTGCGATGATGGATTAGCTGTATCCTTTTACATCTTTTCATCACTTAATAGCTGGGTATTATCAAACAGTATATCCAAGTTTCACTTCCATTCTTTAAGCCTATGAGAAGACCTTCATTATTAGCACTTAGGCACGAGTATGTCTGTGCCCACAGGGAAGAACGTCAGGCCTTGAGGAACACAAGCTGAAAAGAGATCTTAATGGGGTCCAGTGCTGATAATGACCAGACCACAGCAAACCTTTCCCTGATGTGTCTCAAATCATCTGGCATTCGGAGATGCTTATGTCGTGCAGCACTAATAGTGAAGGCTTGGTGGCACTCCACATCTTTCTTTCCTCCTACGTACTCTTATGGGATGCACTGATTGATTGTTACATTGAATTAATTTGTTTTCTATGCCATTTCTCCCTCCAATCTGGCCAAGTTTCATCTCCACTAGCCTATAGTTATTTTACATGTAGCAGGCTTTTCAGAGTTGTAATTAGCTAAAATCACAGCTGGTAATCATGACCAACAAATTAAAACATGCAGGTTTGAAGTAGAAGTCACAAAGAGCCAGTGAGAACTCAAAAGAACTACTAGATAAATAAGAATGATGTAAAGTGCATCAAAATGCAAGTGACTGCGCTCAAAACTCATCCTCATTAAAAAAGCATTGCAACCAGTCTCATCTTGAAAACAAGTCCATGTTACTCAGAAATGGCCCATGACCATGTTGGTCTTCTTGGAAAAGAAACTGTAATTTGATAGCTGGACTAGTTATCACAGACTGTTTGAATACCTTATATATTTGCAAGTAAATAAAATAATTATCTTTGACTTTGATAAGATTGAAGCTCAAAACCAAAGACTTTTGGATTTACGAAACAAGGCTGTTGCGGAACAGAAAAAAGTGCTGAGAGATCAACGAAAAGCAGTGTTAAAGGAAAAGAAAGAAATGTCTGAAACAGAGGCTTTGAAATCAGCAGTTAAGGTGTCTTATCCAACCTATTATTGGTAGGAAGTAGGATTTTTTGATAAACTTGATGTTATGTTCAATTTAGACCATATTTTGTTTCATTTGTTTGCAAGGACCACAATGGAAACTACTGGTTCACCAGTAATTGTATAATCCTATAAAAAGACTCTTCTCATTACCTGTTTGCTGAGTGATGTATCAATATTATAGAGAGAAGTCACTAGTTAATCACTTCTGGGAGTTTAAGGGTTAAACAAGCTAGGGGGCCTGTTTCTCAAAAGCCCTGGGCCCAGTTGCTCAAAGGCCAATTAACTGACGCAAACCCGGGGTTAAATTTTAATCCAGGTTTCTATATTACTTTGTTCAAAAGCTGTTTCGGGATAATTTTCCCAATTCTTTTTAGAGTACTCAATCATCAAATTGTAGACAAATGGAATTAAACTGAACTGTCTTTTAAAGCTTTTAGATCTAAATCAAATTTCACACTAACCCTAACCCTCCTTCGAACGACCTGGTCCTGGTAACTTAGTGGGCCTGCAGCAGCTGAAGCCATGTTTTAAAGTCAAAATTTAAAAGATACAAAAACAGTTTCTGGCAACCAAACCAGTCCATTTTGTTTCTTTAGCTGATAGTTTTACTTCATTATTTTCAAATTTTTTGAAATCGCAATCTTGAATAAAAACAGAACCGCTTTATTGGCCTTTTAAGTTACCGGGACTTTCGATAAATGGGCCCCTGGTCACAAAGAATGTTCTGGATTTTCTAACAACTTAGTACCTTTTTTAAACTTGCTTTGGTAAGTTGAACTTAGTCGTTTCTAGGCTACTTGGTTTTTAACTCTTTCACTCCCAACATCTTATTGGTAATTCTCGTGACTGTCAGCCATTAATTCTTGGGATGTCAGTTTTGAGAATTTGATATTGGATGAACTTACAACATAATCCCATAATTGATAGTTTATTTTATTCTCATCACATGTCTGCTTGATGTTGTATTGATATTGTAAGGAGAAATAACGTCTTGGTCACTGCTGGTAGCGAAAGGGTTAGTTGACTTTTTTTTTCACAGGCGCGAGGAGTCACTTTGGAATATGAGAATGACTTGTCGAGGCCCATGACCGATGGAGGACTGGACCTCAAAGTCTCCATAGACAGCAGTGGTGTACTTCACTGGCCGGTCATGTTTGTTTATCCCGAGTTTGAAGAGACTGACCTGATATCTTCATTTAATGAGAATGACAGGTGATTGTTGCAAACATATTTATGTTTGAATTTACAGCGTAGTATGGTAATGTGAATATTGTCATGCAGAAGTTTTTGAAAGCTAATTTTATTAACTACTTAGAACAATATTCAATCGAGGTTCGAAAGTAATTTGGGATTGCTTTGTTTCTGCTTTACTTCGCGCTGTCATTGGTCCAGAAAACTCGCGCCACATTCTCGACCAATCAGATACAAACTAAAAACCAATCACGACTTCGTCGCCCGCGGTTTTCCGCGCTTTACGTGATTTGCTTGTTTTTACTTTGAGTTCTCCTAGGCTCTTAAAGGTATTTTTCTTTCTTTGATCAGCCATTGTGTCGAGTAGCGTTCTAATACATAATTAAGTTAGTTATCAACCTAAATGTTGTTGTCGTAGAAAAAAAGATTAAAAAAGAGGAAAAGGAGAGGAAAAATGTTTCAAAAAACAAAGATCAATCAGTAGCGTAATTTTCATTTGAGTGTCAAAGGTAATAGTTGCTTCTGCTTTACCTCGCTCTGTGATTGGTTTGGGCGCAAAATGAAAACCAATCGTGTTTGGCCACCCGCGTTTTCCCGCGCTTTTGGCAGTTATGAGTTCTCATTGGCTAATGATGATGTTTTTCTTCGTTTTAATTGGCTGTAGTGAATACTCTGGTTTTAGTTTTTCAACAGTGAATTGAAAACTGTTCTAATTCGCCCTTTGTTCTTAAATGATCAGATGGCCTTTTTCTTTCAGTTAAGTGACCTGTTTATTGAGCATTTGTCAGTCCTTTTGGTGATAACAGTCGTTTCGGTTTTGTAGAATGGCAGATCACCTGTATGCCATGCTTGAGGAAGAATCTCCTCCCTGGGACAAGGATAGGAAATACACTCTCGCAAATATCGAGGTAGATATATAAGAATACCTCTTACTAACCGAGTTTAAGGCCCGTGCTATAAGTGGTGGGCTGACTTTTCCCGCTCGGATTTATGGCCAAAGCGCGCGGACCTTAAATCCGAGCAGAGTAATGTTCCTCGACTTACCGTACGGACCGAGACAAGGAGATTAGTAAAGTATTTATTATATCTCAGTGTTCAAATGGAGGGGGGAGAGTTTAATTTAAACAAACTGTTGAATTTAGCGGGCTGCACCGTGAATTACGGCACGTAAAATTGACGGCACGTAAAAATGACCACACGTAGCAGACGCTCGAACTGAGATTTATAATAACTGTATTTAGTGTATTCCACACAGATGAAAAGTGCTTTTTGCGCACGCTGATTGGCTGTTCGGTAGTGATTAGCAAGTAGTATTCACCTCCGAGCTGCTAAAGAGACAAAATGGTGCGTCAACAATTTAATTTCTGACCATTTTTTGGTATATTGACATATATAAACTAATTTTATTAGTTGCTGTGTGGTATATTCTGAAACAATAGCCCATTTCCGAATTGCCCTTGGCCTCATTTTCAAAACGAGTCCTGGTGCTCATCCTTTCATATGATTATAAGTTTTCATTCACATGCAAATTAAACTCGTTTTCACAAGAATGGTTGAGCACCAGGCCTCGTTTTGAAAATGAGGCCAAGGGTAATTCGGAAATAGGCTATTATTCAGCTCAGTGTCGGTGACAGGTTGTTCGTTTATTTATTTGTTATTATAAAGTTGTGCTTTATGTTAATGACTGCGATACTTTACTTACATTTCTGTCCTAAATGATCTTTCTCTAGGTAATATCACGTGACTTTTATAATTGAATTTTCTTTATGAACTTTGACCAGCCCGTTGATGGGAAGTGAGCCCGCGCTCCTCCCTCCTCAATGACGTCGTTGCTTCTCGAGAATACCGAAGAGTGCATCTAAGGAAAAAAGCTCTGCGTGCCTTAGATTTTCTGCAAAGCCTTCATTTTCCATGTAGTTTTTTTGCAAAAGTTTCAAGCATATATTTTGCATTTATGTTCTAATAACCAAACTGTTGTTAAATCTCTCCAGGTTTATTTTGAGGACTCGGCAAGAGAAAAGCTATGTTTGGTGAAAAATAGCAGCTTCCTTAAAGATATACTTTCGGACTCGAGGTGAGTCGTTCGGTATGTCTCATTTAGGTTTGCCTAATAATAGAACGGATAAAACACTGTTTGAACAAACAAATTTTTTTTCCTACCTGGTAAGTATCTATAAGACAGGCAAATGTTGGCTTTACATATGGAAAACATGTCTAATACAGGTTGGAAAAAAAGAGTAAAACACAAAAGGTAGCTAGCGATCTAGGAAGCTCATCGTGCTGGATTTGTTCCAGTTTCAATGCCTCATGGAATATTGCTTATCCGCGGTAACAAAGACAGTGCCCTCGCTGTTTGTTTCGTCAAAAAGTTTCAAAAGAGGTTGACAGAACTTTTTGCATGAAAAAAGATTTCTGGATTGGAGGCCCTTTTCACGGAAGGTTTCTTGTATTTCTAAACAGGATGTTTTATCTTGATTTTCCGGTTAGTCAGCTCTGTGTTTTTGTTTTTTTGGTTTTCTCGGTGGTTAGGTTTGTGGTAAAACAGAGAACACCGGCATTTATTATCCTAAGTAAAGAGTCTGCATTCCGGACAACTTTCCTCCAGCGATGTCAAGTTGAACGATGACACGTGTATTCGGTACAAGGTTGGGTCTATGTGCGCTGTATACCCCGAGATATTCCGAGGAGATGCCGAAGGGTTTCCGATTCAAGTTGTCGAGTAAAAGATCAATGCGGGGATGTGAGAGCATTCGGCACGTTAATTGTCGTCTCGAAACATTGTATTGAAGTATTCTTTGTGGGCTTGTTAATCACACGTGACAAATATGGGCAGTAAGTATACACAACGCATTGTTTCATACGATAGGACATTTATTGTCTAAGGATAGATCTTAAAGACAGAACGGAGTTTTCTAAAGAACCTTACTTCAAGCTGGTGACCGAAAATGTCAATATATCATTGTAAAAGAGAAGTGAGTAGTGATTAACTCACTAATATTGTAAATTTGATTCAATATTTATTACAAAAGAAAAGAGTTCGAAATTTTCAGACATAGAGTGATAGGTGCACGCGAACCCGCTTTATTTTGGTGGAAAAACGCAAAATCTGTCAATACTACTGGACGAGTTTTTGAAAATAGTAATGGCAAATAAAAGATAGGGACATTGTTGCAGTAATAAAAATTTTGTGTCAGGAAAAGGCTCGATTCTTTCCTTCGACAATACCCATGCACACGTAATTGCTCATAAGCTACACACTAAAACTTCACGAGGTTTTTATTTCCTCAGCAATTGGCAAAGAACTGGAAGTCATAATTCGTACTCGCAGTCAAACTTGCCCAAGAATTGAAAGATCTCTTTTATCGGAAAAGTTAATTGATATCTACACCCAGCCAAACCTGTGTTTGCGCTTATTTCTCCGGCAGACTTGCAATTGTTGAAGTTAAACAGCAGTTGACTAAACTGAAAACATGATAAGATAACCAAATAAAATTGCCTTCTGTTGCGCAGATATATGAACTTACTGTGCAGTGTAAAGTACTGCCTAGAAATATTGCACGCGCAAGGGCTTCTTTTTGCGTCCGTAAGCACAAATTCTTTTTGCAGTTAGCTTGCGTTTGAGCCCTTGAAGCCGCGGAAACATCCTCGCCGTTGCATTTGTAATAACACAAGAACTTTTTTGCGGTAGGATGTTAAAACGCAGAGTTAAAGGGCAAGAATTTCATTCGGTCCTTTTGGCCGACACTGAAAGATAGAATCAGCATTAAAAAGATGAGAAAAGTCTTGTAGCAACAGGGGCAGGTCGGTTACAACTACAAACTTATCGAAGAGAAAATTGTTTTTATTTGTTCAAGCAGGGTAATCGATATACAGACATTTTTCGCTCTTACCTGCTATAATTGTACGACGTTCGAACAAAGCGTTGGCCGGAAGCGTTGTTGAACAACGTATCTTGCCGTACTTAGATTTATTTTCAAGCCAAATGACCATTTTTCTCTTCTTAAATGGGCTTGGATATGGGAACTTTTTAATTCGACTGATTTTATACACACTCTGAATAATTTCTTCGTTAGACTGAGAGATTCAAAAATCCGTAAACTTTGTCTAACTTCAGTTCTCTAAGGCATGCGGCGCTTGTTATTTATTTTAATTTTCTGGCACAACTTTTGTGAACCTCACAATCCTGCATCTCAAAAACTCTCTTGTATACTTTTTACATGCCAATAAGCAGAAGTGTTTTCGTTTCGAAGAGTAAAGAAACGCAGGTGATACCTCAAGTCATTTCCATGTAGAAGATGTATCGGTTGGCAACTGGTGCATGCAGATTCCAACGGTATAAGAGTTGTTCTTACAACTCTTCGGCGCTCCAGCAACGCAGGGTCTCCCCCCTCTTTTCTTTTTACTAGAGCAACTCTCACTTTTTGCCGCACTTGGTTTCACTTGGTCATCGAGGCCCATGACCGATGGGGCACTGGATCTCAAAGTCTCCATAGACAGCAGTGGTGTACTTCACTGGCCGGTCATGTTTGTTTATCCCGAGTTTGAAGAGACTGACCTGATATCTTCATTTAATGAGAATGACAGGTGACTGTTGCAAACATATATATGTTTGAATTAGTTTCACTTGGTCATCCACTTGGTTTCGATGGCTGTACACAACTTGACGTCACGAAAAAAAATCACGTGACGTTTTTGGCGCGCGGAAGAGGGGACAATTTCGTTCGCAGATAGCGCGTGTTTTGAATTAAAAAAAGGGGGGGGGGGATTTTGAAGACATTTTCGCCCGGATTAAACGTTAAAATCGTTTTTTGCATCAAGCTAAGAAAACCGAGAAAAAAAAATTCATGTCATAGGCTTTTTAAGGACAATTGTTGTGTAATCACTCCTATTGTGACGTATAGTTAATTACTTGTGTAAGCCGCTAATGAAGGCGTGCATGAAAAAACACTAATGTGAATACACATATTAAGCATAAATATGTAAGCTTAAGAGGCAAAATGGGAAACACTGTCAACATTCGTCGACGGCAAAATGTTCAAGCTGAACAAACACTTGCTACAGTAAAAGCAGCGGGTGTTTTTAAAGCAAGAACGAAAGAAGCACAAGCAAAAAGGACAAATGCATCGCAACAAATAGAAGAGGTAGTTAAATTGAAATTTCGCAGGAAATCTAATGTGTTTGGGTATAAACCCATTGGACGACTTGCTGCGGTCGATGGATCGCCACAAATAAACGCCACAAGTTCCCAGAAGGATATTCTAAAGTTTGTACGCAGGTGAGGATCTACATGAAAAAGAGTTGATGTCTGAAAAGATCAACTGTCATTTATCTAGTCGTTATATTAAAATTCAATATGAATGTCAACAATTAATAATATGTGTTTTGATTTTGCTTTTATTGTCGTCCAACTGAGCTAATCGCATCCAACAGCTCAGATGGTCGCCATATAATTATGGTTGCCGATTTACCCAACAAATGTTTATTTTGTAAGTTTGTTTTCAGATCTGAAGATCTTTTTTCATGATTTTTCCCTTAAGGGGGCCATAATTAAAGTTAGAGACAAAGATTCTAACGCGTTTCCCTTTGATTTTTTATCTTCTCAAGGGTCAACGTCAGCGATAAGCTAGCTATTAAGGACACGAGAGTTGCATGGAATGCGTTGAGAGACTTAGCCAGCCGTGAAAGAGTTCCCGCTATCCAAGATACAGGCCGAGGGCGTTTCAAATTGATAACTGATGTCGTTAAGTTCACTCAAAGAACTTCCATGTCAGTCAAAAAAAACAAGGTGGCCAGGGAATTTTTCTACAACGACGCGCTAATTGTAAGTTAAACCATAACTTACAACGTTGGTTCGTTCGTGGGGGACGTGCGTGCCATTATTCGTTCGTTCGTTCGTTCGGACGTTCGTTTGTTCATGTACTCGTCCGTTCATACTATCGTCTGTCCGTTCATTCGTTCATACATTCGTTCCATCCTTCGCTTTTTCTCTTTCTCATTGTTTTCTCCTTCCTTTTCAAACAGACCTGTGTCAGCTTATTTTATGTTCGGTTTTCTCTACAGACAGAACGGGAAACGCTTTGCCATTTATGCCACTCTTCCTCCATTGAAGAAGGTCCTCTCAATCCTTGCCGTATCTGTCCAAGGGTTTATCACACTGATTGTCTAGCTAAGCAAGGGCATCTTTCAGGAGATAGGGCAGTTGAAACTCTAGCGCTTTCAAATTCAAAAATCGGCTGGAGTTGCTGTAATTGCGTAAGTTGAGGTTCATAGCGTGGGATCTCGTGAACATGACCTCCTAGCAACATGAAATATTTAAGCAGGAGAAAGAATTTTTGGTCGGTTTACCGGCGTAATAATCTACGTGGGATGTTGGGAGAATACGAGAGAGGTTTGTAAACTACGAGCCAGAGGGGAGTGATTTACAATTATAACATAACCAAAGTAAAGCGTGCGCTCTGATTGGTCAATTCAGCGTCCCCCATTTGCCCATAGGTGTACACTGCTGACGTGAGCAAATGCAAAGACAATTTTTCCGCGCGCGCTTGTATTTTCTGGTCACGTAAGATTTGTTAAATAAAAGGGAACTCTTTAGCTACAATGTATCAATGTTATGTTATAAAACAAATGGTAAACACCACAGCGTACACTATTGAGTTATGGATGCACTTGGGAGGTTTGCTAAGCACTCAAGAAGCTAGAGTCGCTCTCGGCTATCGCCTCGAGCGACTCTTACGCTTCTTTCGTGCTTAGCAACCTCCCGCGTGCATCCATAACTCAATAGTGTATGCTGTGGTTTTTACCATTTGTTAATTTTCAGATCCTTTTCAGCAAATGGTGACATTAACAAGTTGTTCAGTTATTACGGAAGCCATAATTTTAATGAAATAGATTTCATTTGACATGCAGATGAAATTCAACCCAAGAAATGATCCTCACAAGTAAAGTGCAATTTATTTTAAAACAATTGCAGAAAATAAACCAGAAACATTCATGCTTTGAAAAGATTTGAACCCCTGCCTCCATGATACTAGTTGGGCAGTCTACTACCAACTGTCAGCTACAAAGCCACATGTTGATAGGTAAAATTTAGAGGCAAATCTGATCATAGTATTTAATAAATAACTCAATTTGTGCTGCAGATGAAAATCAAGCAATGCACCAACACATACTGAAAAATGTAACAGCCCTTGTGAACTG